TATTTGATCTGGTATGGACCCATCTGTGCATCTTTGAGCTGATGTTTGTGACTTTCATTGATTTGTAATACTCTTTTCTACGGTTAGGACACAAATTAAAAAAAAAAAAAGGTTTTAAATCTGTTTAATCGTGTCATAGTGGTGATAGTTTGTATTTTTGAGTTTTTATTTCCTATAGCCAAGAAATGCTTTGCTGTTATTCATTGAGGTTCCTCTCTAGACACCTGCAATCAAATTCTAGTAGAGAAAACATGAGACAATGAGTTTGGCTTCATCTTTTTCTCTTTGTTGATCATTAGAAACTCTTATCATAGCAGTGACTCATCTGGAAGTCTCTGCCCTGGTCTGCAGTAATAGGGGTGAAACAGACCCTGACTGAGGCAAGGAAAGCTTACAACTTGATTGCTGGTGCTTTGCCCAGTTTTGCTAATGCCATTAGCTTCACACCCACATGAAATCTAAACTGCGAATATACAGATCCATTACTCCCTACAGCCCTGTGGTATTTCAAGGTGACATTGAGCTACTGCTCTGTGTTTTTAAACCAGAGTTTGGTCAATGGCCATACTTTGTAGCTTTCGCACCACTCTAAAATTTCAGCTCTGAAAGATAAATGTATCAGCCAAAGTGCTGAGCATATTCATGGACTAACTCCCTATCAAAGTGTCTATGATTGCAGGAATGTACATGTACACTCGATTCAAAGAATTTGCTTTTGTGGTGAAAACTCTATCAAATCTACTATTTGTTTCTAAACCCCACTGTTGTAGTTAGTGTTTCACCTGCTTTATAATTATGTGCAACACAAGGATAAAATACTTATGACTCTTTCCTGCAGTCAATAAGGAAAAAGGGCTTCCAACACTGTGCTGAAAGCATTTCAGCTTCTTTCCCCTGAGACTGAAGTATCATAGCAGTTGAGCTTGTCAATTACTTTTAAAGCAAGCTGTTTATAGACCATTATTCCCAAGGCTTTATTTGCTTGCTTTCTTTGCGAGGAAGCTATTCAAAAGTCTGCCACTATCTCTTCTAATGAGCTCCTACCATCAAAAGCACCTCTTTTTCTCTTCTTTTTCTTCTGTCCCCTTGTTTCTCAGGGATTTTCCTAGAGACAGGAGGGTTTGAGAATACATCATCATTCACATATGGATACGAGTATCACATATGGAATATATACTGAACAAAGCATCTGAAAATTAGAATCAAATATTTTTATTTGATTTATTTTGATCTTTGTAAGGGTTCCATATTGTGACCATCATGTTAAATAAAGAAATGCCTTCTCTTTTATGTTTCTGATTGTAGGTTAAAAAAGGACTTTTGGTGGCTTGCAAACATTGGGTTTCACAAAGGTCATTGACGTAGCAGAGATATTTTGATAAAATATACTGCAAAGAGAAGAGGTGAAAAACAGATAAATTAAAAGTCTCAGTCCTAATTTCCATGAAAATATATAATGCTATAATACTCTTTTTAAATATAATTTAGCATGGTATTTTCTAACACACATTAATTGGTACAGAGCCTAAGAGAAGGATAGTATGATGATATTTTCCACAATGTATTGAATGAATTATTCCTAATGATTTCAAAGACTCATTCATTCTATCAAATAGAGTTCAGGTAAATCATGCCTGGACTTTGTTGCTGCTCAGTGAGAATAGAACTACATAGGAACAACTGAAGAGGACTACAGGATTGTAGCCTACAGGACTATAAGTGAGAATAGATTTTAGAAAGAAAGACCAAACCAAACTGTTTAGATTTATAGAAAAACTGAAGAGGGAAACTAAGGTTCTGTATGACTATGTGATGGTACTTCAGACACCAAAGAGGGAGAGGAGTCTTTTAAACTAAAGACAGTATGTGCTCTGGGGGAAAAAAGGTAGATAAGACCTGGCAACACATAAAACTGAATGTAGATGGGAAGATGTTTTAGAGACATCACAGGATTAAAGCTCTGGGACAGCTTCTTGACAGGATCATAATTGCAAAATTCATAGGTGTTTTAAGAAGTCCAGTGTTTTCACATCTTTGTTTATACAAGTGTGGTTGCTTGAAATAGCTGAAGGTCAGTCTCGTAAACCCAGAAGGCCTATTCTGCTGCCAAATGCAAGAAATGGCATTTGACTGACTAATTAGTCTTTTATTTTTGTGTGTGAGGAGGGAAAAAGCTCATATGCAATTGTAATTGTTTTTCTGTTGATTTCTTTTAGTTTTGACTTTGATTTTTGAACATGCAATGATGTGACCTTGATGTTGTCTTAAAATAGTCTCCAAGGAAGATATATATTACACAAAGATATATGTGCTAATTAATGCCACACATAATACATAACAGCTTCTGAGTAGAGAAAAATTCTCAGTTCTAAATAAAAGACTACATTATTAATATATTCTCTGAGTTCAACACCTTTAAATAGGCCCCCAGATTGCTTTTTCTTGTGGACAAAGCACCAGTGCATTGGTGTGTGCCCTGATTCACTGGTCTGCTTAAATTACTTTTTATTTTTCTTTTGTTTGTTACCATAGTAACATTCAATAATTTCCCCCCGCTAATTGTTCCATTTCAGAGGAATTCTAGAAAACTCCCATGGATGAAAACAAAACAATAGTAGGGGAAAACACAGCTGAAGCTATACAGGGGAAGCTCTAAACAACAGATGACAATTTGTAAGCATGCAGAGCTCAGGTTTTGTTATCAACAGGAAGTGTGTTTCTGTAGCTGCCATTTGGTTTCTCTTCCAGTAAATCTGTACCATTTTAACAGAAAGCAATATGTAGCTCAAATATTTATAAGATAAATGTATAATTAATTCATGAGAGTCTTTTCTTTTTGAACAGAAATTTTACTGTGGTAATGGAAAAATAATGGCAAAAAAGTATTTGATAAAAATTGTTAGCAAAGATTTATCTGAAGTTTCTTTTTCAATTAGGATAACTCTAGATAATTGTTTTTCTTCTATATTTAATGTATGGTACAATGAATATAGGTATATTAATTTGTATTGCATGTGCTCTCTGTTTTTTTCTTCTACCAAGTGCTAGACCTGAGTTGGGTAATACATTTAGAATTGCCCTGGCATAGGCTGAGAGCAGGAAATGAATATCTGCTGTCAGGGGGGAATGGTTCAAAGCCCTGCGAGGTCAACGATGATTTTCCATTTACTGCAGTGGGTTTGGTTCGTTCTGTTTTTCTCTGATAATTCATTATGATTTCAAGTGAAGTGCAGGAGCTGCAGAACCAGATCCCTGTATATGTGACTATAGAATGACAGCTTGCAGTGTTTAATATACTGTGTGCAAGAGGCAGCTGGGTGCTTTTCTTATCAAAATGTGTGATGGAAGGTTGAGGGTGGACATTAGGGAATGAAGTATCACCAAGGAGGAGGGAGCTTAGTTCAGTAATAAAGACAAGAAAATAAGCTCTATAATCAAATCAAAAGCATAAATTGTAAAGGATTTATTTATTATTAATTGTGGGTTTATTATAGTATTGCAATAAATTCTGGTTTTGATTTATAATTTCTACAGCTATACTTGCAAAATACTGAGTTGTATTAGCATATCTGTTGGGGAAAATTACTCACCTTGTAAAATTCTTTGTCTATAGTAACTATAAGCCTGATTAAAATAACATCTGAGTGTGGAGAATAAAATCCCATGTATCTTATTCTTTAAACCTACAGTATTTGATAGCACTAATAAATATACTATGAAGAATGCTGCTTCTATTTATTTCACTCACTTTTTCAGACTTTAAAATGTATTAGGATTTTTATCCTAATATCTAGCATCTATGTTTATGTGCTAGAATCCCCTTCTATTGCTTGTCTTTGTAAAGACATTTTATTTACTTGAAACATAACTTCTGTGCAAAAATATATATATTTTTTTTGCTAATCTGAATGATTTCTGTGGCTTCAAACAAATCTTCTATTAACCAACTCATCCTGGAGAAAAATGGCTTTAATCTCAGAGACTGCATTAAACTTACAAGGAAAATAAATCAATAAAGGTGAAGGTCACGGAAAAAGATTATTAGAGCAAACAATAGGCTGCCTACTGTTCAACAGGGTTATAAAATAAACCAAAAGAAAAGTCTATCAGAATACATCGAGAATGAACTTTATTAATAGGTTCCTCTTCAGAATGCTGAATAGTCAGATTTATCTCCTGCAGGTTTTTTTCCCCCAGTTTTCTGCTTCCCTTCCCATCAGCTCCTTCCTCTCAGTTCTTTTCCTCATTTCCTGCTATATTATAAACTAAATTACCTGTGGAAAGTGACCACAAGTACCTTGTGCTGAAATGTATGTGATGTGAAATAAAAATTACTCTGGAATAGGTGAAAAATGGGCCACTTTGTTAACCATGTAGCTGGATTTAATCTCCCTGAACATATGTAACACAAATTCCCACACGAAATGTTGAGCTGATTTTTTGGAGGGGGATTCAGGGAAGAATTTGGGGGATTGGTCTGTAAGTAGGAGGGTTGAATAGTGGCCACAGTGATTGAGGACTTCATTTAACTCCTAGAGCTTGATAACAGTTAATGGTTATCAATAGTTAATGGTTTGAGGTGATTAGCTGGTTCCAGCCAGTCATTAATCTGCAGACGGTTTCTTCAGTCTCGCTCACCAGTCTTACCAAACAAATGACACACTAGCATTTTGCTTGAACTTTGGTCTTTTGTTACTGACAAATGAGTCTGAAAACAAATGAGGTGAAATCAAATCCTACAGTACGATGTCACTTTACTGGTACCCATATCAAGGGTTATCCCAGAGCTGGGGTGGAGTTCTGACCTGACTGTGCTGGCAAGAATTTGACTCCTAATTCCGCATCTCAATATCTGGTTTTTTCCTTCTTTTTCTGCATCAGTGTACTTCCTACATACTAATTATAAGCATTATTGAAAACTGGAACATTAATGTAACTAAATGTAGATTTGAGTAATATCTTTGTATTTTAAAAACAGGGGTATTTATTTTTACCCAGAATTAAATTCAGAGTAGTGATGTTACTACCAGGCAGTAACATCATATTGCAGCATATTCCACTTGTAGGTTGGAAACACTGAAGGGAATTTCAGGAGCTGACAGGAGTTTTAATCTCTGTGCCCTTCACTAGCCTAAGCCAAATGAAAATCTTGACAATCCACTTCAGCAGGGATTACAGGAGCAGTGCTGGAAATTTCTAGGCAGAAGACCCAAAGCTGTTGATAAGAATACACAAAGTTATTAAGCTAAAGTGAAGAAGGCATCAATCATTTCGAAAGGGTACTATTTGATTCTTTCCTCAAAGTCCAATCTGACCTGACACCAGCCTAACAACATCCTTTTATTCTATACAGGTGCATAACTGTCTCATTCTGCTACATTGTTAATAGGGCCAGTAACAAAAAATAAAAATATGACCCCGCCGCCCCCACCCCCCCAGCAATGTCAATGTATATAACGGGAATGAAGGAAGGGGAAAATAGAAGAGGTTAAAGGTTTACAGATATAGAAAGAAAATGCCTTTCAAATACTAATTTAAACTTGTTCTGTTACTGAAGGCCTGATTGTCACCTCCAAAGAAGCATGTAAAAAGTGACTGGCACATGCTATTACATTTTGAGATAAAATAAATTAAGAAAGCCTAGCAATATCTTTTATCTGAAATATTAAATCTACCCTTCCTCTGTATTTTATATCACAGTTGCTGAAAAGAAGAGAAAGGAAAACAAAGGAAAATAAAAGAAAGGAAGAGGAAAGAGCAGAGAACTGGTCTTATTCATGAATGAAAGAGGAGACATTCCAAGGAAACCACAGCAGAGAAGAAACTTTAGTGGTAACAATGGATGTCGTGGATAAAGGACAGTAGCTGGCAAGAAATTATCCTGGCTTTAGAATTGAATTCTCCTTGGTGCAAATTATGCTGATCTTTGTCATTGAACTTGAAGCTAATATCCTATCAAAAATCAGGATACAGGCACTGCCGCATTCTGGGCTCCCACTGCGTCTGGAGTGGCCTGCTTATTTAAATGGCTGGACTTTGTGCATGCACAATAGATGCTTCCTGGGAGTTGAGAGCTTTGTAAAATTACATTACAAAATCAACAATGACTGTGATGGATTTTGAATTTCTTATATGGTGGAACAAACAGAATAGCACAATATTGTCTTTCAGGTGCACACTTCAAAGAGATTAACTAAGTGGGTGAACACCTACATTTAAGTAAAAAACAGTAAACCCTGGAAGCAAGTTAAATCATAGGATCACAGAAATCTTGAGCTGGAAGAAACCCATAAGGATCATCGAGTCCAACTCCTTATTCCTCGCAGGACTACATAAAACTAAATCATATAGGTACGAGTGCCATCCAGGCATTCCTTGAACTCTGGTAGCTTGGTGCTAAGTGTCTGCTTTAGATCTTGTCTGCCTGCTGTTATGATTAAAGTTTATTGTGTAAATAACAGTTTAGTCCTAATACAAAAGATGTCACTGCAGACAGTGGAAAAAGGAGTGTTTGCAGTAGTTCACATCCAGGCACAAGTGACTCAGGATGACTGGTTTGATGTGGGCCAAGTGCCGCTGTGGATGGAAAGGCTCATCACTCTTGCTCTCTGGGGGTGCAGACCTGTTGTGCCCAGGATGTGTTGGTTTCTCCATAGCTTCTGTAGCAGAATTTTCAGGATCAGCTCTACACTCACTGTTCCCTATGATCACACCAGCCAGGTGGAGAGGAATTTCTGATCCTTTCTGGGCAATAAAATAATGTTCCTGGACTGTGGTCTGTGTTCCTCTCAGCATGGTGTGGGAGGTGAAGGTCTGGTACACCTTGTACCAGACATATCTTTGCCCTGCTGCATTCGTATAGCAATGGCTTTAGCACCTGTGTGCAAATCCATGTGCCATTTCTGGGCTGTGGCTCATGTCCAGAGGTTTCTGTGTCCTTGCTATGATTCTGTGATGAAGGCAGAGGAGGAATTGCATGTGCATAAGCTGCTACATGCCAAATGTTAATTGCCAAATAAAAAGACATTGGCAGCATGGGAAATGGGGTACACAAAGTTGTGGTTTATCCAAGGCACACTAGCATGTAGCAGTCTGGACACATTCCTGGTGGTCTGTGGCCTTGACTGGACATGAGTTTTTTGAAGGCATGGCTACTGAACATGGATATTTTGGCCATCAGAGCAGCTGAAGGTAGCCTGAATCTCTCAAGAGTGGTGGGCAGAACAGCAGTACTTCCTGAGTCTCTTCAAGCCCATAAGGAAGGAGGAAGTTAGAATGAGATTGAGGATAATTGTGCTTTTTAATCTGGCGCCCCTTTCACCGTCTCTTATATCAGTTACCCTCTTTTCCACCCCATTAACTGTGTGAGAGTACCCTTTTATCAGCTTAAAGGCCTTAAAATACAGCATTTCATATGTGGATTAAGGACAATATGCAGCATTAAGTAACCCATGCTGATGAATTCCTCTTTGGGGTCAAGTTGTGGAGGAATGCTGCAAGGTCGCATGGTTTTTCTGTGTTGCTTACAAAAATAACAGATAAATAGATGCAATTTATCAAACCCCCAGGCAGAGTAATACATTTATGCCTGAATACAGTATTTCCCCATGAGTTTAAATTAGTTTACTTACATGCAATATCAGAAACCAGAATACATGTATTTGTAGTTTTATAACCAAATCCACAACAATTTATTTTGTAGGAAAGGTTAAAGGACTTAATAACAGCTTTCTCTGAATGTTTTTTTTCATTTTGTGGATGTTGGAAAAGAAGTTAAATTTTTTTGCTCCTAGATAGTGAAAAAATACATCATTATGTTCTCGGTTTAACTATGTAAATGACCTTACTGATAAATGAAAATTGATATTTATTTTATTATTATTTTATTATAGTTTATTATAGCCTGATGGCATGTTAGCCCTTATCATTCAAGAAAGTACTTAACTCTGAATAATACATCAGGCTAACTCTCTGAAATTGTTATTATGAGATTTTAACGCACCATAAAACATGTCTTATGATCTTCAGCATGCTCAAGTGTCAGTCTAACACATTAATCTCACATACATCTTGGAAAACAGTAGTTTGGCAAAAACTGTCTTCATATATAGCATTTCTTGTACTATATTTCATACATGTATAAGTATGGGATTTACAACATCTGAATAAAATAATTATCTTTTCTGCTCACAAAACACAGCAAAATGAGATCTGAGCCATGACTGGGAATTCTAGATTCTGTCAAAATATCCTTATTAAATAAACAGTGTTGTTGACATAGCAGACATGATACTGAGGGAATGTATGTGAATATATTCTTGGATTTGCACTTGGACTATTCTTTGTTCCTTTCTGATTGGAAATTATTGGTCTTAGTTTAGATTATGCTATTTTATTTTACATTTCTGAGGAAAATGCATTAGCTAATCTTAAACTGGAGGATGAGGGGCAAGAACAAGGACAGAGAAATATGGCTTGGTTGGCTCTGACTCTTACAGCATGGAATTCATACACAGTACAGCAAGAAGTGATTTTTGAGCTGCTGTCTCCAGCCAGGTGGGACAAGTTTGTGCCTATTCACATGTCCACTCAGTCTCAGACATACTGTGGGTCTTATGAGGACAATTGCTGAAGTAGGATATAAAGTCAATCTTCTTCTCTCAAAACCAGAGCTACACAATAGGCAGTGTGCTGAGCCAAAGATGTTTGCTAACCATCAGAGTCTGCTGGGGCAAAATGGCAACTCCATCATAACATTCTCCTTTTTTTTTTTTTTTTGATGGTAAAGGTGGAAAAAAAGAAGCTGTCAGAGAGATGTTCAGTTATCCAAATAACTGTGGCGGGTCAACACAAGTGGAGGAGTGTTCTGCAAGGCTGACAGTCTCATTCCTGCAAAGCTGCAAGTTTAGCATCATATCATTGGACCATAGCTAGGAAAATCACCCAAGGCTTGTGTTCCAAACTTTGCAAAGGGAAGTCCTAAATTTAAGGGTTTTGTCTCATTTGTGTCTGTATTAATCAAAGTCTTTTCATTCTGGACTTAATTTGATATGAAAAATAGTTGAGAAGCCATCCCTAGAATGGATAGTTCAGAAATCAGGTTCAATATACTTCTAAAGTAAACTAAAAATTCAACATGTGTTGTTACATATGTTCTGCATGTTCTTCCTTAAGTCAGAAAACTAGTGACTGTAACCTATATCCTTTCAAAATGCAACAGATATTTAAACAAAGCAAACTGCAAAAGCCAAAATGTTCTTATTTATTAATACTGATTATTTAGGCAATGTGGTCTGGTCCAGAAAACTCTGTAAAGAAACATAACTTTTATCCAAATCCCAATGTTGTTCAACAGCCAGATCACATTTGTTCTCTGTCTGTAGGATAGTTATAGTTTTGTAACACAGTAAGTTCTTGTGAAATAAAAATGTAGCAAAGCCTGTTCTTGAATGTATTATATTTTCTGGTTTTCAACCTCAAGGGTTTGACTACTGCTATGCTTGATATTATAAGCATATATTATATTTTCTGTCTTACCATGTTTAAAATTTGTGTCAAAAACACATGGTCTGAAGGCTCTATTGAAATTTGTATTTATATCATTTAAGGACACATGCTTTCAACCATCTATCTTAACATGTTTAAAACTATCTAATTTATATTAGACTATTTTAGACTTTTATATTTATGTGGTCTGATTTTCTAAAATTTATCTTTGCAGCTCATAGGAACTGCCTTTCAGTGTCCTTATTACATGTCTGCAATGATCAGAGACTCTATTTTCTGATTTGAAAGAGGTAACAAAGAGAAAGAAGGAGAGAAATAATGACCAGATATAATGCTGAAGGCACAATAATTGAAAGGAAGAGAAGTATTTCCTAGTATATTGCAAACTGAATGGAGGTTGTGCAGTTTAAAGGAGAGGTTACAGGGTCTATTGCACAAGAAAATTCCAATTCAGGGCCAGCAGTGGCCACCTGCGTTAAGGAAGATGCAGGTGAAGAAGTGGAATGAGTAGTATGATGCATGGATAATAGGCCTTGTAAAGAGAGGATTCAATAAAGCAGCAGCTGGAGAGGCATCATGGCACTTCAGCAGCTTAGGAAAATTAGATTGCATTTTTACCTGATAATAGGAAATGGGCTTTTGTTCAGTAGAAAATAACAGAAAAATCTATTTGTTATTAAGGGGGTTTGTGTATATCTTCTTTCATCAAAAAAAATCTCCAATGAGTCTTTTTCACAGAGAAATAGTTGTCTGGTTATATCTAAGGGGAATTTGGGGATTGCTACTCATAAGAATTGTTAAGGGCAGACATCGACTTCTCTATTCCAAAGCAAAGATTTGCAATGTGTTCATAATAACCAGTCTGCAGGAGTTACATATAAGTAGTCATAAGAATATTTACAGGTAAATAATTTATCCTGAATGTTATTGACACTAACCAACCACAGACAAATGGCAGCATGTAAAAATACGTGATGATCCAGTCATCACCAAAGAGCTCAGTGCCAAATAGTTAATTCAAGTGGATGGTTCTTGAAGCATATAAAACATTTTAAAATTCACATCTTCAAAACATTATTAAAGGTCAATAAAACTCCACTGAAATGGCTGGAGTTGCTCAAAAATATATGCAAAAAGAGGGATTTTTGAGTTTGAATGCTTGGCATAACTACTGAAACATCAGGAATGCATTTGTACCAAGGTCGAAGTTGGGGCACGTGCTGAAATCAACCATGACACTCTGCAAGCCCTGGTTCACCCAAGTGCAATATTTTAAATCATTGAACTTCATGTTTCTTCTCTTACACAATTGATCACATCATCTGCTTATAAATAGATTTCACTGGCATGGTGTCCAATACCAAACCAGCCACCTATCCCCTTATCAAATGAGAGAGCTTTGTATCCTAAGGTGAGAGCAGATAAATTATTTCCTGAGATGACATCAAGGAAGAAATGAATCACAGAATATTTCCATTAAGAAGTTTTTGACAGTTTGAGGAAGGCAAATAATTCAATGATTAAGTGAGAAGTCTGTTATTTTTCTTTGTTGTGTATTATTTGTGAACTGTGATTTTTATTTTTATACTTTCTGAGTAATGGTAGACGACAAAGGACAACTAATATAACAGAGGGAAAAATGTCACTATGAAATAAGTGAAAGATAAAGGTTCCTAATGAACTAACTGAGAACACTTGGGCTGAAAAATAATAACAAAAAAAAAAAAAAAAAAAGTGTATCTGTGTCATTGCATGAACAAATGCCTCTATGTCTTCAAGTTGAACCTGGGGTAATCAATCATGGCAAGACTGTCACCCATACAAGGTTGAATATGAGATGAGGCAGCTCCTCATCAAAAAACATGTGGAGACCAGGAAAATATCCTCCATATGCACCTCAAAATGGAGAAAAGTATTTCTGAATTTAATCCAAATTAGATCATGTAACATTTAATGTGTTTCTTTTTTCTAATTATTTTAATTTTATTTTAATTTCCTTTGTGTACATGCACATCATTATGGCTATGACAGTCCAAAAAGTTTGACTTTTCATGGCATAGATCATCATAGCTCTGTTAAAATCAGTGAAATTATGGCAAGATAGCCTCAGTCATATATTTAATCCATAATACAGATTTACAGTGTTTTTAACAGGCTGGAGGTGATTTTTGCCATGACCCTCTTGCACGTAGCTGCACTAACATAAGCCATCTCACATGTAGTACTGTCCTCTTATTTTCTGCAAGCAAGCAAGGACAGCAAATATTATGACCTTCACTTCATCCAGAGAGCTGACAACAGAAGCAGATTTTCACTTGAACTATAGCTGTTTACAAGATGTTTTATTTAGCTCTGACTAATAATTGGTCAGGGAAATTTTTCAGGGAAGTTTCTACATGGAGCTGACACGTCATGTAGATGACTAAGCTAATAAAATAGTACTCTTCCTTTTCATACAGCAATGTGGTACTGTAGAAAAATTTATTTGAATGACCCAAAAGGGGAGATATTAGAAAGACCAGGGCATCTTCATTTAGAGAAGGGCTGTTAGTTGTGACATTCTGGCTAAAGACATGTCTAGCGTGCTAAGGTCTCTTGAAGTTTAAAACATTATCAGTGTCTGGCATCTCATCTTCTTTTTCTCTCCTATCTAGGTCAAACAGTTCTTGTAATAAGCTGTTTATGGTAGGTAAATCTCACAATGCTTAAACCAGAAATTCTTAATCATGAGAATGCATCTATTCAAGAGACAATATTTATTCATAATATAGAGGCATGCCTGTTTACAGATATAATTCCTCATTTTCTTCACACGCAAATGAAGATCAAATATTGGCTCTCCTGAGCAATACCCATAAGTAAAAAATCTAGATATATTAATTTTTTGCAATTTCAAAATATTATATGTCATATTTCCCATTTGTGCTGGGATCAGTATGGAAAATACCAGCCTTGAAATGAAATTATGTATTTATTATTTAGTAGAATGATTAGCAATGACTGTTCATGAGCTCTTTCATTTTATTTCTGTTTTTAAAGCTGTTTTCAAACCTATGGTTATGTTAGATATGCATTGAAGCTTTCCCTATAACTTTAGTGTGACAGGCATAGAAATAATTTTCCAGCTTAATGTAGCATAAAAATTGTTAAGATGTTTCTGACTCTTCTAATTTAAAGCCTTCTCCTGCTACTCATCCCCCTGCAAATAGTTTCATTACCTTAATTTCTTTTGGAAAGTGGAGACAACTTGTGACTGAGAAACTGCAAGGCTTGATTCGGTGCTTATTTGGAAACTAAATTATGAAGGTCTTTATAAAATTACAGAGCTTAGACACAGAAAGGACAGCTTTAACTCTTAAAATTAGTGTTTCATTACAAATCATTCAAAGGGAATTATTTTAATTGACAAACATTTTCTAAAAAGCAGGCTCAATTAATTTGTCACAAAAATGAGTTTCAAAATCCTTGGTTTACAGAAATCAAAGATACGGTGTTACCAATGGTTTACCCACTTTCTAGTCTGCTGTTCTAATGGTAAGTTGACCTTGTTTCTCAGTGCCCTGCTTGATCAATTAGTAACACTGCTACTAGAGCATTTTGGGAACTCAGTCTCTGGGGTTTGAGTTTGGGTGGTATTGAGCGTTCTAAATCTCAAATCATGAAAGGATATCTTTTTGAGGTATGCTATGTTTTAGACTTCCATTCCTCTTTATCTCTGGTTTTCTGCAGGCCCAGCAGAATTTTCACTATGCACAAAATTAAAAAGTTGCTGGTTTGTTTTCCTTTGTGGTATTTATGAAACTCATGCTATGAAGCTCAGTGAAACAAACTAAGAGAAGAATTCTTTGTGTTTCTTTCCTGCTGTTTTTCCAAGAAAATTCAATGCTCATAAACATTTAGATAAAGCTTATTTCTTGCCACCTAAAGGAATGATCGCTAAGACCAGAAACTTATTTCTTTCAGTCCAAAGGAGGTGCCAATATCTTTCTGGGTAAGTATAAAATGCAGCACATACATGGGAAAAAGTTTATTTCTGTACAGGCTGGTTTTTACATGTAAGAGTTTTCCTCCGTTCCTAAATTGCCAAAACTTCTGCAGGATCCTAAGCAATGATAACCAGAACAGGGAGAAAGTGTGTATATTGCGTAATATATTTTAAAAATGTGTCACTGAAGAGGAAACAAAGGAAGAGGAAGCAATCTTTGGTAATTTCTTTTTCAGACACTTATTTCCAACATGGAGGCTAACATTGCATTCCCTTAGGTATAAAAAGCGCTAGAGTAAACTCTGAGAGCTTCTCTCTCTGACAGTCAAACAGCTGCATGAGCTGGAAAAGCATTGTGTAGGCTATAAAATGGGATGAACAAATAATCACACTTTACTTTCCAAAATTCTCTCTTCTCTGCATTTAAGGTCAAGCAGAACAGCTCTTTCATCTTCTGGTGTTCATGGCTAAGAACATGGATGGCAATCTTCCTCAACACTGAGCAGCATTGCTAAAACCGCATTATTTGTACTTAAGCACTGGGGCCTTATGGAGCAGCTGCTCTGTAAATTCACCAGAGGAAGGTGATTAAGTCCTTGTATGGCTGCTGTATGATATGCAGACCTCTTGGTGCTCTCATGCTGTGCCATTCTGAACCTGAGGTGTCAGTGATTAAAAGCTGGTGTGAGATGACTGCAGCTCAGCACTGATGTGACACAGGAGCTAGTCCTACTGTCATTGAGAAGGTGCCAGAAGAAGTGGGGACTAGTCCTACTGTCATCAAGAAGGTGCCAAAAGATCGGAGGGCCCTTTGGCATATCATGAGCTCTTTAATCTCACGCAAAATTGTGTTTGTTTGCTCATGCCTATCTTTGCACCCTTTCTCATCTTCTACTATTTCTCTCTTTTTGTGGTTTTTCTGCCTCTTGATCCTTTTTCATTTCTTGT